ATGGGATTGGCAGCGCGTTTGCGAATATCTTAGGAGCAGAAGAATAGTCCCCTGAGGAGGGGAGACGGCGGACATTTTAGAAAGGGCATGAATGAAGCTAAAGAGAGAGTTTCTTCCCCCATATGATCCGAGCCCCGAGAATACAAGACTAATGTGCCCAGGTGTGGGGGGGGAGCATACAGGATGGAGGCATCCCACTCCGCCATGATACCGACTCTGAATTCATCGCTTTCACGAGTCCAAAATATTGCTCGTGTACATCAGATCTAGCCTCTTCCCACCAAACACAAGGCAATCCAGTCACAAAGGTATCGCGTTCCTTCTTTCTCATCTGCTGGTTCAAAATCATTGTCGCATTTCCCTCCTTGCGCCTCCACATCAGAGCTCATGTGGCTCATGCGGCACACTCATCCGCCGCAGCAAAACTCTTCCCACCAAACCTCGGCTTGCTCAGACGCTCATCTGCCTGATCATCTCGACGAGCTTGTTCGCCTCGCTCTTGTAATCGAGTGGCGTGGCGCTCATGCATTGGTAGCGGACCCTGATGGCGTTGTTAGCTCTCCGACAACATTTGGAGCAAAAAAAGGGGGAACTCACCTCGCCTGGTCACCAAAGGTGTCCATCTTTGCGCGGATGCGAAAGGCGTACTTGCGGCAGTTGGCGGCGTCAAACTGGGCGGCGATGAGGGCGTCGTCCTCCTCGCGCATGGCAATGAGCTCGTCGGCCGTCTTGCCGTTCATGATGATGCGGGCCGTGTCGTCAAACATGCTGATCCACATCTGGCCCGTGTGGTCGTTGACGCTGCAGCTCATGACGTAGCGGTACTTTGGCTTGTCGCGGTTCATGTCGCACTTTTCGCAGCGCCAGGTGCCGTCGCCGTTGTCCACCACCTTTTTGTTGCAGCCCTCGCTCTCGCAGGCGGGGTACGAGAAGTTGTCCTGCTTGATGTGCACGATGGTGGCCTTTACGGTGAAGTACTCGGTCTGCTCGAAGCCGAGGTTCTCGGCCTTGACCTGCGCGATGCACTTGAGGTCCTCCTTGCGCCCGGACCCGCCCATGCCCGTCATGTTGTTGTGCGAGGCAAAGTTGTCGTTGCGGCCCGACGCGTCGTACCAGCCCTTGAGCCGGTGCGCCTCGGGCACGTCCGGGTCGACCGACATGCTGCCCGACGAGAGCAGCGACAGGCTGCGCCCGCCAAAGTCGCCGACGCGCATCCCCTTGAAGGCGACGATGGACTCGGCGGGCGCGTCAAAGGCCATGGCCGTCTTGCCCCAGATGGTGGCGCGGACCTGGAAGCCCGTGTCGTCGACCAGGACGAGCTCGCGCTTGTCAAAGGGCTTCTGCGTCGTCTTGGAGACGATCTGCGTCACCTCCTGCACCTCCTTGAGGACGCCGATGACGTCGACCGTCGCGTCCTTCTCGACGTCTTGCAGCTCCTGGATGTTGACAAAGTTGTAGCGGATCTGGGGCACGTTGGTCTGGTCCTCGCACTTTTCGACGTGCGTGTCGCGCTCAAACACGAGCTCGTAGTCGTTGTTGGTGTTGTTGAACTGCTTCTTGGCCATCTGGACCTTGCACGGCGACGAGATGTAGTAGACCATGCCCTCGTTCAGAACATCCCAGTACTGGTCGGCCTGTTCGTTGAAGGCCGTCGCGCGGATCTCGCCGCTCTCGTCGAGCAGCGTCACGTTGAAGAGCTTTCCCTCGCCGCTCGGCTTGGCCCATGTCTTCATGTCCGACTTGGCCGTCACCCGCGCCTTGATGGTCCACTTGTGCGAGTACATGGATAGCGACTCGATGGGGTTGATTGTGGTGGCTCCATGCGTGCCGCCGCCGCCACCACCGCCGCCGCCTGCTCCTCCCCGCGCTATCTGTTTCTGGACCTGGGTCTTGGAGTCCTGTGTTTCGGCCTTGGCGCCATAGAAGGCGGGGCCGCTCATGGTGGTGTTGGCCGGGGCCTGGACTGTAGAGGTATCGATACCCTTGGGGTCGCCAATCTTCTCTGGGGTGCCGAATTCCGTCAGGACTTCGAGGGCGAGGACAATCAAGACGCTTCTGCCCTTGAGGTGCTGTGCTTGGTGCGACGTCATGCGGATGATGGCGCCTCGTTGGAGGAGGCCATCGTGTACAAGATGGTTGAGCTGGGTGGCGAGCATGCACTGGACGTAGCTCTTGATGTCGCTCAGGACGAGGCGGTAGCGCTCCTGGCCTTGACCTTGAGCTCCGGGTTTGGAGTCGAGCTGCTTCACTTGGAGACATTGAAGGACCGAGACGGAAAAGTCTCGTTGGGCGCGGGCAGGGTCGGTGAAGATGGCCCTGTTGGGGACAAGAGGTTAGATCCGGCAACGAAGCTACTGAGCCAGAGAAGGGAGCTCGACGAGAAGGGCACTTACTCTAACACGCCCTGGGTGATTTGTTGGGCTGCCATCTTGGCGAGATAACTGCTGGACAACTGCAAGAGATCAAAATGGCGGTATGGTTTTGCTTATTTCGGCAGATGGGGTTTCTTGCAAAGATGGTATTGTCGACGTTGATGTTTCCCTTCTATTTGGGTGGAGTGGAGGTTGACGTTGGGAATATTTGGAGTATGGAGGGGTCACGCGTTGAGAGGCAACGCGAAAAGCGCGTCGTGGGGCAACCTCTTTGTTCCCAGAGGCTAGACTGAAGCAGCTAGCGGGGTTCTTTTCGTGACCGCAGTGGGTTCTGGCAGGACGAAGTACAGGTCATGCTAGCCTAATTTGGGTTCCTTCTGACAATTGATTGCAGGAATGATGCACGCACTTCTCAGCACATCTCTTCCTTCCTCCACTCTCGCACAGTGATTGCTCCACTTGATGAGAGCATCACGAACTTCAACTTGGAAAACTTCAACTTGGAAATGAAGGGTATCAGGGCCACTGGACTCCACTCGCCGGAGAATATGCTTCCCGATATTTACTCTCCCAGATCCAATGTATCACAAGCTATAGGTATCAAGGCTTTTCTTGGGGGTATCGACGCCCACAGCAGGGGTGATGCATTGGAGAGCGGGGTTCCAATGGCAGTCGAAACCTGAAGACCAACCCCGCCCGCCCCAGCTCATGTCGGTGAACGTTGCTGCCCCTTGGAGTTGGGGAAGCTTCCATGACTTGAATGCCGTATCTCAGAAGCCCTTAGATGTCAACACAAACGGAACGTGCCCATACACTCTCCCCAACATCAACTATCCAGCCCCCAGCTCCAACCTCCAGTCTCAAAAGAATTACCCCTTCTTGAGACTCCCCCTGAACATAACCTGTGCTACCACCAACCTCCCTTCCAACCGCAGTCATGGCTCCCTTCCCCATAGTCGATTCTCACATCCACCTCTATACCGAGTCCGAACAATCCACACTCACCTGGCTCACCCCCGAACATCCCCTCACCGGCAGTCACTCCATTACCGAGTATAACGGGAACACTGGCTCTCCATCCAACCTCGAGGGTTTCGTGTTTATCGAGGCAGACCGCAAGAACGATGAATCCAAGTATGTCCAACCTGTTGCTCCCCCTATTTCCGGAACCAACAACTAACCCCTCCAGGGACTGGACCTACCCCCTCGAAGAGCTCTCTTTTGTCCGGCGCATCGTCACCGGCTCTCCCAAGCCTGATGACGGCCACGCTGCCACTGATGCCAAGCAGCTCTTGGCCGCCATTCCCTGGGCACCCGTCAACCTCGGGCCCAAGAAGCTCGAGGAGTTCCTCGCCAAGGCCGAGGAGACGGCCGGACCGGAGACCTGGGCCAAGGTCAAGGGGTTCCGCTACCTCATCCAAGACAAGCCTAATGGGACTGCCCTCGAGGAAGACTTCATCGCGGGCCTCAAGGTCCTCGGAGATCGGGGCTTTGTTTTTGACCTCGGCGTTGATCAACACAGACGTGGACGCATTCAGCTGGACCAGACGGTCGAGATGATTGACCGCGCCCACGAGGATGTGGAGGAGGATAAGAAGGTTGTGTTCATCATCAGTAGGCCTCCCCCCCCTTCGTCCGTCAGCCTGCCAATGCTAATGCCACACCCAGACCACCTCTGCAAGCCCGACCTGACCATCGTCAACCAGAGCGACCCCTCGTTCGTCGCCTGGCGGACGACCATGTTCACGCTGAGTCGGTGCCATCGCACCTACATGAAGCTCAGCGGCTGCTTCGAGGAGCTGCCCGAGTGGCTCAAGGCGCGGCCAGCCGAGGACATCTTCGAGGCCATCCTCCCGTGGCTGGCCATCATCGTGGCGGCCTTTGGGCCCAGCCGCATCATGTTTGGGAGCAACTGGCCCGTGTGCAACGTGGGCGTCGGCGAGGACGCGTGGAAGAAGTGGCACAAGGTCGTCGAGATGGTCTGCGACCTGGCCGGGCTGAGCGAGGACGACCAGAAGATGCTCTGGGGCGGGACGGCGAAGAAGGCGTACAATATTGATGCCTAGGCTGGGAGTCTTTGAGGTGTTGGGCTTGGGCTTGGTTCGGACGACAAAATAAGGTTAGGAGAAGCACAGGAGTCATGGGACATGAAAATACAGCGGAATTCCTAGGTCGAGGACGCTCGCAATCATTTTGCATATCCAGCAGGCGGACATGCGGCGGGCGCGAGACCGTAACCGGACAAAAGTGGGTTGGGCCGGCGATCATCCGGAATGGGATCGGCGCCGTCCCGGCCTCCCGAATTTCATGTTCAGTCGAGGCCGGATGCGGCTCTGGGTTTCCACAGAAATGCCACGTGGTTTTCTCATTCAGCCCGACTTCATCCCGTCTTAGTCTTGTTTTTTGAAGCATTTGGAATTGCTCCCACTCTTTGACAATCCTCCTGGACAATGGGCACTGGACACACTGGGCATCCCCAGATTCTCTCTCCATCGCCGACCCATTTCAACCGGTGGTCTTCCATGTTGCCGTCGGGTATCCGCAGCGAGGCGTATTTCTGTTCATCTCCACAGTGCGTGTCTTCTGCCTCAATTCTCTGCATTCACAATATCCACCTCCTCAGATACAGCGTCAGTGGTTTAGTGGTAAAATCCATCGTTGCCATGTTTCAACATCTCGATGGGCCCCGCGTTCGATTCGCGGCTGACGCATCATGTCAACCTACAACGATATCTGATCATCGGTGAAGCCAGCAGCGAGCAGCTTGTCTACTCCTTACTGCTTCCTTTTTTGGCAGTCTCGAAATACCTCAACCCCAGTCGCCAGAGAGTTTCCTTTTTCCCTCCTGTATTTTTTTTCTTGTTGACAGATCGCCTCCTGAGAAGGCAGAATCGAACTCAGGTTGCAGGACGCCATTCTCGCTTCCCCCCCTCCGCTCCGCGCGAGATGACGACGATGCGACGAGACACGAGGATACATCCCACTAGTGATATATCCAGAAACCACATGTTGTCGGTGCGCGGAGGGTCAATCTCGAAATTTAAATGCACCGGTCGGTCATACCGATGCCGACGAACTATACAAGGGCTTCGCCTGTCATTTTTAGGGCCGAACTTCCCCGGATTTCGCTTGGCTAGAGAGGAAGAACGGGATTTCCATTTCCGTCGTATCTTCTTCGTCTTCGCTGGTGGCCCCCAGACATTCGACACAACGGCCGAGGCCGGACACTGTGTGGTGGAGGCTCTGAAGAAGGAGCCGGATACCTTTCCCCATCCAAAAAGGACCTCAAGTCAGAGCAGGATACCTACATTTCTGCCGACCAGGTCTCGTATTTAGAACCGGACACCTTTTTCTCTACCGTTCAGGTCCTGAAGTTTAAACTGGAGGCGTCTGGTCTTGTCGTTCAGGGATGACTTCCTTAAGTTCCTTAGCAAGACGTCTCGTGCCAACAAACAAACCAGGGCTGGAGTGTATTTTTCTCTCTTTCTTTCTTTACACTCCACCCCTCTTTTTTGTTAGCGCGAGACATTCGAGACACTGTCCAAGGCCACAGACGGTTCATGGAGGCCTTAAAGTTGGAACTGGATACCTTTCCCTTGGAGTCCGGCACCTGTACATTTGACGACTAGATCATGAAGCCGGAACTGGATACCTTTTATTTGACCAACCAGGCTTTGAAGTCAGAGCTGGATGTCTTGAAGTCGGTCATGAAGATATCGCGTCCCTGGCGAGAGGTCTCGCGCTAGCAAGCAACCCACTGCAGTATTGGATTGTACGAGTGTCAAATTTCCCAGCCACCTGGGTGTCAATGACGACAGGTCGTCCGGATGCATTTTTGCACGGCATCGAATGGGTCGAAAGATTGACACACACCGTTCTTCTCCTGAAGCCTTGAATCCAATGCGGCCGAATCGGCAAGAGACACGACATGAGACGGAAACGGAAGGGGGACGGACGTGGGAAGCCATGGACACTGTGTGTGTGGGTGTGGACGGCGTGCCTTGTTGGTGCCAAAGAGACCATAGCAGCAAGTCCAATGACATGAGACGGCTGCGAGGGCAAACTGGGACGACGGGCTTCTTTCTCGCTGCCGCTGCCGCTCTGGCAGCAGATCACGATCCCGGCATTGCGAGCCCCATTGATGGTGATTTTTTTCTGTCTTGGCGCAGCTCCCAGGGGCGCGGAAGGTCTGGGGAAAATACCGTGGTTGCATTTGCGAGCGAGCCGGAAAATTGACCCGGCATCCGGAATGCAGCCAGCCAGGCGAAGGGGGGGCATGGAATCCGCGGTGAAGAAAAGAATCCCAGGGGGGTGACATTTTTGCGAGGGCCTGGATGCGGAAGACGGCGTGGACCCCATGTCGTGGTTCCGCCTTGACGCGTCAGAGAGTCCTGGTTCCAGAAGATTTCCTTGAAACGGCCGAGCGACGGCATGAAGCAGGACGCCTGGAAGATCATCCACTCTCGACATCAGATGAACTGACGGGCCCGTGGTCGCGTCGTCGTGGGCATGGTGCGGCGGCACGGAGAGGAATGCGACGTTCCTGATTTTCTCGTCGATGGTCGATGGGCGGTCAGCCCAGCAAACATACATTCCATCCCGACCCTTCCGTTGCCGTCGCCGTCGCCGCTTTTCCCTTTCCCCAGGTTGGGGCCGTCTTGGAAGTGACTCAGATGCGATCGGATACTGGGCGCATCGAGCCGATGAAATAAGGGGTGTTGACATGGTCCCGTCGGAGGGATAAGACGAGAACCGTCCAGGTGGCAGGTATGGATGCTCCGTAGTATGGAAATGTACAACCATCGCAGCTTGGCTGGTCGGTCTGACTGCGGCGAGTACTTGCCAAACACCCGATGCTTGAAACAAGACTGCCATTGCGAATCCAGTCGGGCATTTGCCATGCAGCGCGGTCGAGGGCCAGCTCTGCTGCGGCCAGTGCAGAGTGCACAGAGCCACAGTCGAAATGAAGCGTGCAACGACGGAAAACGATGCGGGCCAGTGGACGCTGCATCGCGATGCTGACGGGGTCAGCTCCGAAATACCGTGCGACTCGCCGCGTATTCATTGGGGATGGCGAAGCGGGCGAGGCAGGCAGCGAGGATGGGCCATCACCGCGTCGGCCGGTGACAGTGATGGGAGGATGGCCGTTGGTGGTGTGAGGTGTTTGTGTGATGTTGAAGAAAACCGGCGGCCGACGAATTGGCGTTACCCCACAAAGTGCTGGAATTGGAGGCCACGCCGGTTGGGGCATGGCCTGGGGGCGGCCGGTGCCCCATGGGGTCAGAAATTTGGGGGAGGGAAAACTCTGCGACTTGCTCCACGTCTCCTATCGATCCGACCTCTCACAAACAAACCATGGAACCTGGAACGGCTGAACAAAAGCACCACACGCCAGCATCCACCGCCTTCTGTCCACCGCCATGACTGCAACTGGACAGTGGCCAACGGCGAAGCGAGGGACCGGTCGACATCTGCTACAGGCCGCAATCAAGCATCCCAGTCCTGACTTGGCGAATATGTCTGGACTCTTGACCCTCTGGACCGACGGTTGATGATCATGGCGGCGAGCCCGCTGCTTCTTCCGTTTTGCCTGGGCCGGCCCCCAACCCCCCATCCCCCCCAGGTTTCTTTCAGGGCCAGGCAATAGCGTGCCTCACAAGCCGCGAAGCTTGCCGGTGTCTTTGTCGGCCCAATGTACTCATCATTTTGCGCAATTCTGGCGCGGATCGCCAGGCCCGCCGTGGCTTTTACCGACAGCCCAATGGAGCACACCTCAGCTGGCCGGTGGTGAGCTGGTGAGGTCGCTGTCCCCAAGCCCGAGGCGCATTCCTCCCTTGGAGTTGCATTGTCGTGGGGGACATTCCTTTTCGGGACCGTTTTGGGCTTACGGTCCATGCCTCATCCTCCTCCGTCTTGCAAGCTGCCGGTGGCCAGTCGCCAGTCGCCAGGGAGGCAGGAGGCCAGGGAAAAAGCAAACCCATCGGAAACAGGCCAGTGCCTTGTCTTGAACGGACCACTCCGTGTGCCCCGTCCCCGTCCGTATCGTACTGCGGCGTGTGCGTTTTCCAACCACATGAAATTATCCCAGGAGAGAAAAAGTCGGGGGGCCGTTGCACAAATAACTTAGTGTCCCGTCCTTCCCCAGGATTCCACGGAATCCGCACCCAGACTTTTTTTCTCATTTCACCCCCTGCTGTGCTCTCAAGGTACCGGCCCGACATCCTGTCCCTGTGTCCTGTGTCCCTCGATACATAAGAAGCATCCCCCCTTCTGAGACATCCTCTCCCACAGCTGCTTCCGGTCCTCCCGTCTTCCAACATCAGCACCACCGAACAACACAAGTACTTATATCAGCCTCGGCCACTCCATCTTGCACTCGATCTTCCCACCACACGTGCATCCACCTCTCACATCACCCTCACATACAACACACACCAAGCCATACCAGCTCTCTCTCGACACTCTTATCCACCACCTGTCCACCACCACCCACAAACACCCCAACCTTCACCATGCCTTCCCAAGTCGCCTCTCCCATCCCCATCTCGGCCGCCCGCCGTGGGAACCTGAGCCTGGTCACGGGCAGCCAGGACCTCTTCGCCAGCCTGAACGCCACCCTTGCGTCCCGGTCCACCACCGACATGTCCACTCCCAGCCATACCATCCGCGAGAACGACTACTCGGTCCCCGCGCCCCCGCCGCCGTCTCCCGTGTCCTTCCGGGACCACTGGCCCCAGAGCATCCGCCGCTAAGCCTGTTAACAACCCCTTGGCCGACTGACTGCATCACATTTTGGTTTCTGGGCGTTTTTCTGGGATACACACACACGGAGGGGACACAACCATTTCGCATTTTTTTTGCCGGCAGCTCTGTAAATCGACGGGGACTCACTGTACCAACACCGACCTGTCATCATCACTACCACCTTTTCGACGGAGAGCTTTACACACTGGTTCGCAAGACACACGCAACACACGCACACATCTACATACACGGGGCCGGGACGGGAAAAACAGAGGCGCGACTTCACATTCGACAACTTTCATTTTTGGGCCTTTTTTGCAATACCCCCTTTTATTGGTGAACCTGTACTAGAACGTCTGGTTTGGGATTTTCTTTTTGAAGCGGAGCGAGGAGCAGAGGCAAGGGACTCCGGTTAGCCCTTGTCCGGCTGGCTCTGCTGGATATTATTACCTCTTTTTTTACTTTTTGGCTTTATTTTGTATTTCTTGGGCTCTGGTCTGGGACCTCGGGGTTTCCCAGCGCTTGGGATAGGGTTCTAGACTAGATAGGAACAGGGAGAGGAGGGAGAAGGCGTTGGGCAGATAGAGGGAGGGATACCTACTGCGGCGCGCTTGAATCTCACGCATTCAACCACACAACATACGCAAGCTTGCCGTGATATGAAATCGAGTCAGTGGCTTGCAAGACGGCATCCCTTGCTCCCCATCAGATGCCAGACCCCAACCACCTCCTCCCACGCCAGGAAAGCCGGAAAGAAAAGAAGCACGAGATACCGAGGTGACCACCAATCGCCGATTGGACACACGCGGACAAGACCAGACCATCCACACACCACCGCGGCACCACGTCCGCCACCATTCGACGGCCGAGGTACCGAGGGCTCTCCACAAAGACACGCATCCCAATCACCGCCTACTATGTACACGCTACCCCTGATCACAGCACGGCACTCCCTACCCTACGGCGC